ACCATTTCTATATTTATTTTGGTTACGCTTATTCAGACCATAACCGCCAAAATGAAGTTTTTCTCCTCTATTAATAGACTTGTTGTTGCGTATAAATCCCGTACCGTAACTAGAAAGCAGTCTATAAATTCTATTGGTCGTTCTTTCCTGGAATTGGTTTCGGAATGCATTATTTGCCTTGAATTCATACACTTCATAAATGCAGTTCTGTAACCAACTTGCGTAACTCAAATTGAAAGTCATTAAATACTTCTGCAAGTAAACTAATCATTAATTCAGTATTTGCAATGAACTATATGTAAAAATATTCGCTGTTATTTAGAAATCTTTTCGTATGATAACAAGCTTTTGGGCACTATTCATGTACAAACATTTGCAAACAGCGAGACGGTATGGAAACATTCATAAATATAAGCTCTCTGGATGTTACGAGTTCATTCATAGTTGACATGAATTAAGTAAGGTTTATTATTTACATTTGAATAGATATTGTTTTTAAATTGACTTTCTGTAATTATTTACGGATCATTTGCGACATACTTCTGTGACCTTTCAAGAATCGTTCAAAATTGTACACAACTTATAACATAGCTGTATCAAGTTTATTCAGCCAACCATTTCCTCACAATATTAAATTATAAATATCAAATTGCGAAAACAGAACTTATTTACATTGCGTAGATGTGCAACTTGTCCGACTCTATACTAATGGCAAAAATTGATCAAGTTTGGTTCCACCAATTATTGACTAGTTTGTAAATTAACAACCGGAAAATCAACAAGGCACAAAAGAAAACAAGGCTTTTTCTAATGGGTAACAAAAAACATTATTTGCATCACCGTTACTTGCGACGTTCATTCAATTGGGATTCTGTCATTCTACCAGCTATTGCCTTAAATATCAATGTCGAATTTATATCTATTTATAACTATAGACAAACCATAATTACCTTTGGTGAACTTTAATTTTATTTCTTTTATTTTCAAAAGATGTGTCTCTGTCCTTTACACAGTTCTGTTAAACAGACTGAAAGACCATCAGTTTTGATAATATGACCTTTAAGCTGCATCTGAGAAATTAATAAGGACAGTAATTATATTTTAAATGTCTTGTTTTATAATTTATTTTTTCAAATTATGTAATCGTAGTATATATATTGTTTGCATAGTATAAGTCCATACATACTCATTCAACAATCATCGATATCATAACAGAGGTAAACGGAATCCATAAAGAACATCCAAAACGGCAAAGTTGAACATTTTGAAAGCTGGTTGTGATTAAGCCTGTTGGTAGACTGTAGTGTCAAGTGAAGACCACGTCCATAAGTACCACCTAAAGCAGTATTCAACATTTAAATAGGAAATTAAAAATAATGTAATCAAAATGTTTTATACATCTGTAGATGTGTACATTAAACATTTATTTTAATTGCGTTTTGTATTCGTCTCTTTTTCCTTTTAATTTGTTTTGATTTTTAAAAAAGGCAAACAACGAACATATCATAGCGTTAGTTGATACAGAATTTATTTAAGTTCGATTCAGCTTATTGGCACACTATTGAATCCGTTCCTTGAACCAACCAGTACTGAAAAAGGTGAGCCAAGATTGCTGAATTATAGAAAATGACGTTTGATTGTTCTCTTTTTTAGGACTTATTTATTAATCATTCATATATCGTTGATATATCTTCTATCGGTAAATGTACGTTTTTTGTGCATTTTATTATTTTTTTAAAAAGTTTCAATATTAAAATTAATACACCCTTCTTCATACTACGGACAAACTAATATTAAGTTGAAACTGGTGTTAGTGTGAACGAATGATAAAAACCGTTAATCTATTAATGCTTTTTCACTTTTAATGTTATAGTTTGTATATCATATACGTTCTTTATCATTTTAGGTAAGACTAGGTCTTTTTTTAACTTGTAATACAGTTACTTGATAGATAACTTAATAAATAATCGAATTGCAATACTACACAGGACAATAGAAGTCAATTATAAAGTACATATACATGTATAGTTCATCTTTTAATACAAAGTATATTCATTTTACACACAAATGTTCAAATTCAAATTTACCGTCAGTCACATGACAACGTAAAACAAATCCACGGAGAAATAATCAATTTATTTAGTAAAGGCTTATCGTTTTCCTTTGTGTGACTACTCATTTTGTCGAAGCTAAATGGTGCAATATGTTGTGTCAAATATATAAATATATTGTGGAGATAAGAAAAATCTAATTTAGTATATCATAATTTATAACTCTCTATGTAATTAAACGAAATATAAGTTTACACAGTTCTTTGTATGAAGCCAAAAATATATCGATGTTACAAAAAGACGAGATGTTGATGTTTCTACGGTTATCACATTTTCTTACAGTCTTCTATATTTTAACTGACGTTTCGTATCTTTGAGTTTTCCTCATGTTATGCAGCTTTTGAAAATCCATTGTAATACTATTATTACTTGTTTTGCACGTGATATTTGGCGCTACATTGTGACGTCACGTAAGAAATTCTTTCAAACGTTTGTACAGCGTTAATGGCTGAATTTAAACAAATTTTAATAATTGTTGTTACAATATTGACCAGCCAAAATTATATCTAGGAAAAATGTTTGTATCGTACCGCATAACCTTTACGAGTAACCTTTACTTTAAGACCGATACAATAGCAAGAAAACAGGATGCTTTTCATCTTGCTGATCTATAGATTTAGTAGCCTTTGTTAATTAAGAAAGTAAGCGGAAAAGAATTGTCCACCATACATCGGTGATATTATTAGCTAATATTAGTTACAACGCACAGTTGGAAAAATTTATACTTAACAGATTGAAAATGACTTGATATATCACTCAATAATCGAACTCGCCGTCCAGAGGTATTTAGGCTGCCAATATGACACATTTTCATCCAGATGTTTCAGTGAATATCATTTAATATTCTTTATCATTCGCATTTGCATGCAGTATATGTTTCGATTTCTTAATTGTTTCTTGATATAGAATTATGTCGAATCAATTGTAGCCTTTGTTAGTTGGATGTCTGTTCCATGGGAATAAGTGTCTAATAGTCCCAAGTTATAGGTTTAATTGCCTTAAATGTGACAATGTACACTGGCATTAATTTTATTTTCAATATATTTATTTAACAAACATTAAACATGACAATTTTAAGTACATTGGTCAAGACTGAAAGGTCAGTGATTTCTTTCATAAATAGGTATATTGATACAATTTAGTATCAGAAGTTATAACCAACCTGGAAATAAGAATAAAGCTAAATAACTTACTGGCTTAAATAGTTTGTATTGCTATCGTATGTTCGTATTGTTTGATATCGTCTGTAAAACATACAAGCTATTACCAAACCAGCAGAACTTGTGCATGATGTGGAGATTAAAGATCGAGTACAAATGACACAAACAGACACTGATGTTTTTTCCTCTTATGCATTAACTGCACACATATATAATCATTGGTCGAGCACTTGGCTGGTCGAGCACAGGTAAGGTGACTCTATTGATGTAGTTGGTAAGTGTGAGATATATGGTGTGATATGACAGTTCTTAAGATAAAATGATTGTGTTCAACATACACAAAATGATTGAATACAACACATCTTTAGCAGATAAAATACTATTTTTTATCAAACATTTACATAATTCGATGTTACATATCTTTAGCAGATAAAATATTTTTGTTCACCATACAAATACATGATCCAATTTCCAACCCATTGCCAGGAACTTATGTGTGCCATGTTCTATTTTCGCTAAAAAATCTTATAAGTTGAAATAAAAATTTTTTTTTTAAACCTTAATCTTTGTTCATCGAGGATGTGGTTTCACTCTTTTCATGGACATGATTGACATGGAAGATATTGCCAGCAAATGAAAGGACATGCCAGTGTTATCTCTTAAGTCAGAAGAACAAAAACTTTAGATCTGTGGTTAAATAATATGTCTGCAATTTATTTTGACAGATTGACTATTATAGATATAAATTAAATTGGAAATTGGCGCCCTAAATAAAGAAAATCTTATGTAGAAGCAAAGAAAATCAATTGATTGCAGACTTGTCCATTATGTAGAAAAAAATATACACTATTCAAGGAAACATCTGCAAAAGGTGCACCTATGGAAATTCCACAATATGAACACCGATACATATAAAATAACATGGCTGCCATTTTTATGTCTCCTCTCTTCAGGGATACATGTTATGCCTATAAACTCGGTGAATGTGACAGAATAGTGCGAAACGGTTACTTTGAATGGCTGTTTGATACAACACTTGGACATTACAAATTTAAATCTGGTTATGGAGAATGATAAGTTACTGTATATCAATTTTAGGTATTAAAGTATGTTTTGAATAATTCAATCTGAAATAAATTACCATAACATAACATAAGACGACAAACATTTAAATTTTATCAAAACATTCAAAACTTTTCTCTGTTCTGATTACCATAAATTTCATTATTTTCAAAACGAAACAACAATCTTTAAATAATTCAAGATACGCCAAGATTGGAGAGCGTGTGGGAAATAAACCCCCAAGATTAATTTTACTGCCTGTATAAATTACTATAAAACAGCGCTGTTTATACGCATATAACATAGAACATTCATCAATTATAAATATATTTATTGAAGTTTGATCAATGTTCTACCCAACTGTAGTCAAAAAAAAATGCCATTGTTATGTGTATAATTTGCATCAAAATGGATTTGCATTGTAAATAATTTATATTTCCTTCTCAGGTTATCCATTGGAGCCGATCATTGTGATGTTATGTCATTGTTATTTGATAACAAGACTAAAATACTATTGGGAAAAGGCGTAAAATGAAACAAACAAACAAAGATAGTTGTTAAGTAGTTAACTGACATGGGACGAAAATGAATTTGTTATTCTTTGTTTATTGCTCCCCTGCTGCTTTGTATGTTAAATGAATCGGCATTAAACGATAACTTATGGCACGCGTAGCATCACTTATTGTGCAGGAAAGCAAAAGTACCGAGTCAAAATGACGGTGTCTTGTTGTTTTTCTATATATTTTATCATCGTCTTTAGTGGACAATTAAACATTGCTTCGGGAAGCATTGACCAGGCTGGATTTATAAAGTATGGCCGGTTGTACAACATTGATGGTCTGGTTTGTACCTCGAATAGAACCGTGTTTAAGACAGACAATGTGACATCTGGGGTGGAATGCGCTGTTCTATGTTCGAACACTGATATGTGTTTCGCAATATCCTACAATTCAGAAACAAGGAAATGCACTGGTTGCAATTACTTCGGTGATAATGAAACACTCATCGATGCTGGAACAAAGTTTTACAGTCGCATAGGTAGGATGTTTAAAATAATTCCTGGTAAATGCAGTGGTTTTGCTTTCATGCTGAGTATAGCCTTTAAATAACGTGCAATTTAGCTGGACTTTATTCTTTTAAATTAATTTTTACTGACGTTACTGCTTTATTGACATCACCATTTCTCCTGCTGAAATTATACTATATCGTCAGTTCTAATTGACATTTTGAAAATCAAATAAATATGGGAAAATGCGGGATGACGTTCACAAACCAAAGTCTACCAAAATCCACACAATAGGATCTTTAACAGATTAAAATTTTAACAGAAAATAAGCTTATTGATGCTATTTGGTTGCCACTGTCTCTCTTCATCTCATAAAGTTTTCTGACTGTCCAAAAGCATTAGAAAAGCATGACCTTTGAACTTCTGACTTGAATATCCGTAAGATAGGAATCCTGTTAAATTACTTGTCCTAACAAAGACATAATCTTAATGGTTTTTTCTTTCTAGTGTAAAATTCGTGGGCAACATAAAGGCAGAGAAAAGTATCCAGTTACTTTAGATTTTTAAACATAATACATGTATTGTGTACAAGTTAGTTTGAATACTTAAATAATGGGAATGTTTTGTTGATCAATTTATTTATTTAATAAACAAATAGATTATTTATGCAAATCATTATCAAATTGTTTAAGAGAAATTTTTCAAATATGTGAACGGTCGTTTAAGTATACCATAATGATTGTTTTTTTTAGGTTATCGGCTCATTCAACAACGGCTGAATTGGAAAAATGCAAAGGTCCGTACATTTTATTTTCTTTCTGATTTTCTGGTTTTTAAATAAATACATGTTTATTGTTCTGATAACAAATGTATACACCGTTTACGATATGTGAGCCCATTGAGAGATTTTTGAGGTTCCTTTACTTGTACAATACAATTATGTACGTACAAATATAACTATCACTGTAATGTATGTGAGAAATATATAACGAAAGACCGATCGGGACATTTCAACTTCATGTATTCCCGTTTTCATCTTCGTAAATGCACAATTATAAATTCGTGAATTCATATTTGTTAACATACGGAATTCACAAATTCACGACTTCAACTTCATGAATTCACGATTTTAACATCACGAATTCACGATTTCAACTTTATAAATTCACGATTTCAATTTCACTAATTTACGATTCCAACTTCATGAATTCACGAGTACAACTTAACACATTCGCGATTTTATCTACACGAATTCACAATTTCATTTTCACGAGTTCACAATTTCAACTTCGACGATTCAATGGTCTGAAAAAGTCATACACTCAACGTCATTAATATTCTTCGTGAAAAAGAGATATTACAAACAAAAAGTATCTTTTTAAACAAGTTTGTTTATCGTATCTTAGGAAACATGGATATAGAATAATAAGGATTATGACATTGAGCCTATTATTGAATTTTACGTTTGCATTTTTGAAATATTGAAATCATTTGCATATGTTGGCTCCTAAACAATACTCAGAATATTTCTCTTAAAAAAGAAATAGCTCTATTTTTCAGGAAAAAGTTCATTTCAAGAAAAAATGAAAATATGAATTATTTAAAATAGATAAATAAATATAAAATATCCAATACCTGGTCGAACGGCGATTTCTTGCATTTTTGGAAATGCTTAATATATATACTTCTACTTTCTTCAATCATTTAGAATCATATCAAGAAATATGTTGTACTCGAAAAATTCATAAAAATTTTCTTTACGTTTGTAGGCGAAATGCTCAGAACTAGGAGGCAGTCTGGTGTCAATAAAGTCTCTACAACAACATGATTTTATTGTTAGGATTCTTAGTGGATTCTGTAAGTTTGTTTGTTTTTTCATCTATCGATCTTAAAATATATTACTTAACATACATGTATATTTATACTCAATACATAGCTATGTGTCTCTGCCCAATGTCTCTTATTTGATTTTATATAGTCTATTGTTTTTTCTCTTAACATTACAGTATATTAAAAGATCTAACTCTAATATATTTTGAAGATTATATTCACCGTGTTTATATTAATATGTTGCCATTTTGTTATTGAGATTGAATTTCTTGCCGATGGCCTTGCAAATAAAAGATCTTGTATTTGTACCATACATTAAGCTATGACCATATAATTTTCATCTTTTAAGATGGCGTTGATACTGATTTACGTTTGTGGATTGGGGGAAATGATATGGCAACAGAAGGAACGTTCCTATGGGAAGATGGGACAGCCTTCCCTGATACTCCAGACGCTACCAAATGGGGCCCTGGAGAACCAAGCAACCAATATTCTCGAGAACATTGTGTTCAATTATACAATGAAGATGGCGAATGGTATTGGAATGATGATTGGTGTGTTTTTGAATTGTCCAGCGTATGTGATATGAATTAATGCAATCATATCAATATTATTCATTTGTGTGCAATAACTATACCACTGACTATTTAATGTCACGAATTTACACCTTTTTCATCAATTGACTTGTCGCTCACTTTAATTAAGACAAAACGTTTTAAAGAGAACATGCATATATATTACATAAGAATTAAACAAAAAATAATGTTAATTTTAACATGAAACTAAAGAAACACTTCACCTTATATATATAATAAAACATCATTGAAATTCACAAACTTTGACTAAGACATAAATGATAAACCACACACCACTCGCTTTAAATACTTAGACACGTTTTTTTAATCAGAATTATTTATCAAAAATCTAAACATATGTTTGCATGAAAATACTGTAGTTAGTTGTTTATAAACTTGATCAGGAAATATTAATGGTTTATGTATACTATCAGCTCATTGATAAAAACAGTGTTTCTACAAGGAGGATATATTAAATTATTATTTCAATCACCCCAAAACCGATATGTTAACACATATTTCCAATATATAGAGGATATTAAATTCGTGTAAGTTCAATACTGAATTTATTACACGAGTTGAATAAAATTATATTATATATATCGCAAGAGGTTCGCATAATATTATTTTATTCAACGAGTTCAATAAATTCAGTTATGAACTTACACGAATTTAATATTCTATTTATCACATACCTAAATAAAAAAAACGTTTAAAGTGAAATAAAAGTCATTTTCAATGACGCGCCAATAGTATAACGTTAACATTTAGCGCGTTTTATGCTATGTTTGTATAACGCTAATGACGTCACGTCAAAATATATGCACAGCCGTGACATACCGTATTTACGGAGTCGCAAAATCGGCACGGGTGTGTGATAAAAAGGTATTTTTTTTTTCTTGGAATATTGCTCTACATGTAAAGTTAATACTATATGAAGTCTACAAACAATCACTGTAACAACAGTAAACTCTAGCATTCAAAGGAATCCATACCCTAAAAATGATAAACATCCGTGTAAATATATTTGAAAGATCCCTTAGCTAATGATTTAAGATACATGATTTAAGATATGTTGTTAGCCAATTGTCATCTTATTGTATATTCTTCTTAAATATTACTACTTATATTCATGCCTCAGCTACTAGCCAATCAATGTTTTTTTTTTTACTTTTCAGATGTGTTTATTGTTAGACAATATGTTTTATGTCTCTGTTATTGTCAGTAAATAGCTTATTAGCTTATGTTTCTGGTAATTCGTATACCAACTTTAAATAAAGCTTCTTGTACCTTGTATCTTAGTATTTATTTTTGTGACGGAAGCGCCTTATGCGCGCATAAGGTTATGCACAATGAATGTAGACGGTCTCAACCAAAAAACACCCATACAAATAATACACATAATTCATGATCTCATAAAATTATATTTGATTGGTCAGTACTTTTTATTTATCGAAATGCACATTCAAGGCAATTTGAAAACGTTGTCTCAATATTGGATGTAAAAGAAACACCATAAACGATCAAACTATAGCTTCAAAGATCAAAACGTTCTTTAAAATTCTAGGAAGCTTATAGAATAGCTTAAAAAAGTCTGTTTAATATTTAATATATGTTCTTGTAATCATTAGTTTTAAACATGAGAACAAAGATGATAAAAAATGTAGGGCGACATTCAATTCACAAATGCCCAAAAGAGCATTGATTAAAAACACAAAAACAAGCGAAGAAGAAGCGAATCACAGACAAGTAGTAACACTTTTCTACTGATTTATTTGTTTTAATTGCTGTGTTTTGTAACGACATTTTTGTTTATTATCTTCCGAATGAACATGAAGTCGTTCAATATATATTAAAGAATTCAAGCTATTCCCGATGGCAATACCCGCCACAAACTATTTTAAAGTTTTAGAAAAGAATAAACAAAATAAAACTGAAGTGAGCAGTTAATATCATCATCAGAATTAGTAAATCACAGAAATGGAGATGAAACAATAACAAGTTACCTCTGATTTTAAATTGTTTAGGAAGAAAACAATTAAGAATTTCTCTCATCTTATTGGTATAAGACGGATTAAAATCAGTTACAAAATGTAATTGAGTTAATTAGAAAATACAGCAAATCAGCTTTTTTACAAATCTCGGTACATCAGAAGAATTACCATCTGCTTCTTCAACAATGAAGCACTAAGAGTGTTATCAACGCAGGTGTGCTACAATTCTTTTATTTTTGATGGTTTCTGTGGCTGAGTGGCGGAAGATGATGTCCATGTACAGTCTGTCTAATCAAGACAATTGCAATATTGTATCTTTGCGGCTTTTGCATATCGTACCAAAAAGTAAAGTTTTTAATTCTGCTGAATATATACAGTTTTGGATATTGTTTAAAAAATACTTTGAAAAAATATCTTTGCTACGAATACGAAGAAATTTTTTGTGTGTGTGCGATGTTTAGATAATAGTTTAATTTGGTTGGCGGGATGCACTAATTGACGAGATTAAAATTACATATTTATACCTTTTAAGAACTTTCTTTGGATGTGAAAACAGATTATCGCATTTAATGTAAAATAAACTTGAAATAATTTAAATTTTAAAAATCCAGAAATAGTGAAGATCCTTCTGAAGCAGTGAAAACACAACTTATAATATTATATGAATAATGCAGACTCGGTTAAGTTGAGTACATGTATGTTCATGAGAGATTATACCCTGACTTTGTTTTTTACACGAATAACACTCTAAATAATTATAAGATCGAAAAACAAATATTTTGTTTACATACTGGAAAGTGCCTCAGTAAAAATATTTAAACATTTACTATACTTCATTTATTGAGTTCAATGTCAGTAAACAGATGATAATTAAAATAATTTGATATCTTGATACATATACTTCAAAGACACTCCAAAGAGGTTTTAAACATGACGGGACTCGAAATGTTTTATTTCGAGATTTATGTTTCATTTGATATAAGCCGTGACCAGCCAATTTTATTCAAGCAAATATATTTGTTATTTTAAACAATGACCTAAAATGGAGGACAATTCAACGTTTTTTACTAAAATAGGGCGACGAGTAGCAAAAAGACACTCAAAAAGATCTCAAATTGCTTTGAATAATACGTCAAGACGTCGTTGATCTGATCCCAAAGGTAACAACTTAAATGAGGGATTGTGCATTTCCTCACAATATTCGTTTTTCACATTAATATTTTAAAACATTGACAAATGGATTACTTCTATGATTTTAGTTCTCTTTTTTTAAATTGATTGATTTGACAACACTCGCTACAAGAGTGATGAACATCTCTCAAGTTGCAGATAAAACCAATAATTAAACGTATTAATTAGCCATATTTTTTTCCAAGACAAAAAGTGTTTAAAATCAAATACGAGCAGGTAAAAAACTTAACGAGCAAACTTTAAGATCGGTCTTACAGCAAACAAAAAAAACACAATTTTTTTCATCTTTTACTGAAATAACGATTTAGTACCATTATTAGATATTAAATAAAAGTAGGCGGACCGGAGGTGTTCATCATACATCGATGATATTGCTTGCTTATGCTTTCCAAAATATATTTATCCAAAGTTTACAGCATCCTGTCTACTGCCAGATTGAATAAGGAACGAAATGTTTACGAGGTAGGCCAAACAAAATGACTAAGTTAATTCATGAAGGATATTCAGGATTTCCTTTCTATATATACAGGATTAATTTTTTCATCGAGTGGTATGAACATATTTCATGAGTGGCTGTAGAATTAGAATGAATCTCGTGTCTTAAAGATAAGGCTACGCTAGGTTTTGCTTTCAGTCACGTCAATCTTCATTTTGATTAACAGACGAATTGTTGACTTCAAACCACTTGACCCTCACCGCTGTGGGTTCGAATCCCGACAGGGACTTTGGATTCTTTCATGTGAGAAAGCTATTCAGCCTGCTTACGTCGGTTGTTCTACTCAAATGCCCGTTCGTGCCTGAAATAATGCACGGAAGGGCACATAAGGTCTTCCTCCTCCAGAAAAGCTGGAACGTCGCGATATGACCTATACTGTGTCGATGTGACGTAAAACCCAAAACAAAAAAAACAACAAAAAAGCAGACGCATTGTTCAAAGGTTGCGAAATAATAATCAAACATACATCAATTTTGATGACCCCATAGATTATTATATTTGATTAGTTAGCACTTTTGTATGTCTGTACAATTGACTGTCACGAGCAAAAATGTCGCTCTTTCAATAATGTTATTTATTAGGTAATATGAAATACATTGTCTCACCATTGAACACATAACGACCAAAAACGTGCTTTTGATTTCTAATAAAAGTTATGGAAACGTACAAAAGAAAGGGGCTGTTCAATATTTTATTTCAGAGAGACGTTAGTTGTAAAGAGGTAGTTGTCGTTAATGTAACACATGAGAACAAAGATCATTTATGAAGGGCGATATTTAATGGATGCATACCCCAACAAAATCAAAGAACACATGTCATCCGACCAGGAGCTCAAAGGCACAAGGGGCAAAGCAGAGAATCATAGACGAGTGGTTAACACATTTCTGCGTTTCCATTTGTTGCTGCTGCTGTTCAAAATGTATTGAAGAAAGGTTTAATATACTCTTAAGCCCAAATTTTTCACGTTTTGCTTTTTGAAATTGAGTTAAAAATTCCCTAAGATTTTGTCCGTCTGACTTAAATGACACAACCACCACACTAATATTTTATTTAAGTTCTAGGAAAAGAAAAATCAAAATTAGATTAAAATGATCTGCCAATTTTATCATCAGAAGAAGTGCTTGACAATCACCAACATGAAGATGAAGAATATCACTTGTAACCGCTGATTTTAAATGTTTTTGGAAGAAACAATTTAGAAATTCTTTCTTGGTATTGTATTTAGACGGATTCAAATCAGTTAATGGAGAGACTTATAAAATACAGTAAACCATGTTTGCTATAAACACAAGTACATCAAACAAATGACCATAACAGAATAAATAAACCATGAACGGGAAGCGGCGTTCCTTATTACAGTAAAGTAGAGTTGGTCTTTACTTTAAAAAACAAAAACCGCTATTGTTATTGCCACTATATATTCATATTGCGAGTAAAGTTTTTAACATTCATATTAATTCATATACAGTCAAAACATATTTGTTTTATATTTACAAAAATAATGTCTGGGTAGATAACAATTTTCAATATGTTCTTAATACTAATATCAAAATTGATAAAAGTATATCTTTTACCGACTAAGCTTCTTTGCTGCTTTCACATATTTTGCCAATAAGTAAAACGTCTCATTTAGCCGAAAAAAAGTACTTTGAAACACATCTTAGTTATGAGTATTATAAAATCCGAAGAAATGGTTGTGTTCGCAAGAACTAAAGTCTACAAATATTTCATTTGGTTCTTGTGATGCATTAATGGTCAAGTATACATGATGTATACGGATTTCACCATGATAGCCAAAAAATAGAATAAAAATCATAACATAACAACACGAACTGATTTCATAATCGGGAGCTTTGTTCATTGGTGTTCAATGAAAATAAATGAATTTTGTTTTTAAGTCTCTATACATTGCCTTATAAATCCTTTCTGTGCTATGCTTAGAAGACTGTTAACGTTAGTGAAATATTTAATATGAAAAAATATAGTTGTGCCTGCTAGTCGCAGACGTACAACCAATCAATTTATTTTGGTATTGTTTTGGTATACCTAATTATTTGTAAGAACGTGGATAAGAATAAAAAGTTTGTTATCT